CATAAAGGACCACTGTGTTTTCAATCCATTCACAGTAAACTTTTTAGAAAAATGTCATTGTGTTTCTGGTAGCTTTGGGAAGATTCCTTCACTCAATGTAGTCATTTATTCATTTTTCACTCCATAGTTCAAGCCTTTTCCTCTGTGTGAAGAAGACACTGACTTTCCTAAGCATATTCTGTGTGTTTGTGAGAATGCATGTGTGTATCCATACATTCCAGCCCTGTGTCCAAAACCATGTCCAAAACTACACACATTCGTTGCTATGTCTTATGTCATCTTTGTGGACTATGCCAAAGATACAGAATTCCAGGCTTGTTGGTCAGCACTGAAGATTCAGCAAAGAATAAGGCAGAACTCCTTCATCAAGAATTTGTCTTAAGGCACTATTAAAAATTTCTCTGCCTTTACATTTCTCTTTTTCATTACAGGATTATGGAATACAGTAGCCAGAAAGGAAGTGAGAATACTTTTTTATGTGTCATCTGAAACTCTTATGTGGCAATTGGACAATTTCCCTTCTGGTGTTTATTGTTTGTTTTTGTTCTGGGGATTGAACCCAGGGGAGTTTTACTACTAAGCTTTATTGCCAGCCCTTTTTATTTTGAGGCAGAGATTCACTAAATTGCTGAGGGTCTCACTAAGATACCGAGGCTGGCCTCAAACTTGAAATTCTCCCATTTCAGCCTCCCAAATTACTGGGATTACAGGCATCTACCCGTTCCCTTCTGTTTCTTGAAGAAATTAAAAAATATACACAATGATTCAAAGTCACTTTTAGATTTAGGTACTATCATGGAATCACTTCTAAATATTTCTTCAGTGTAGCTCCAATTTTTTTTTTTTTTAAACCAGGTGTTGAACCCAAGAGTAGTTAACCACTGAGCTACATCCCTAGCCCCTTTTTTCTTTAATTTTGAAAAAGGGTTTCACCAAGTTGCTAAGGACCTTGCTAAGTTGCTAAAGCTGGCTTTGAACTTGCAATCCTCCTGCCTCAGCCTTTCAAGTTGCTATGATTATAGGCAAGAGCCACTATGCCCAGGAAATGTAGCTCCAATTCTGAGAGCACTTATTTTTTTAATGATAACAAGTATTAGAAAACCATAAAAATTACATATCGCTTTTAATACATTCATCTATGTTTTCAAATCTCATTTCTGTTTTGTTCTTACCCTGTTCATATCAGGATGTATTTTTATTTCCCTTAAAACCTCTTACAATTTTTTTTCTTTTTTACTTTACTCTCTAGAGGGTTTTGCATATTTTTTATTTCCCCTTGATAATCTCTCCCTCTTTGTCCACATTGTTTTTGTCTAAGCTACTTTCAAGATTTCCAGGAAACTGGATTTCCCTCTACCTTTTTTGATCATTTGTGCCATGGTTTTCTGAGCATTCTTAATATTGTTTTCTAAAGGGATGTCCAAAGCTCTTGGTCCTGTGGCTCTTACTATATTACAGCACTATGATAAATGTTCATGATAATAATGACCTTGACATAACAAGAAAATACCAAGTTATTATAAGTATATGCTTCCACTTATATGCTACTTCTTGGTGGGAGATTTTAATAGGAATGAGAAATGGTCATTGTTCTCCAGCATCTCTCCATCTAGTAGACAATGTGTATGTGAAAAGGTCTAACAAAATATGGCCTATCTCTATGGGATGAGAGTACCTGAAAAGATATGAGAACCAAGAAATCATTTTCTGTTTGGATGGTCTGAGAAGTTTTCATAAAAGATTTTACTGGAATTGGAGTTGAACATGGAGCCTTAGAAATAATTTTAAGAAGATAAAAGAGGCAGAGAGACATCATTCTCAGAGGGAAGTCTGAAGGACACATAGCAAAAAAAAAAAAAAAAATGAATAAATCAAACTGGCTGCATCAGAAAGTTCATCTAAGGTAATAATTGTAATATTGCTATAAAAGTAGATGAGAGTTGGATTGGGAGAGAACTTTGTTTGATAGTCTAATATTTTATATTTAATTCAGGAGGGCATAGGAATCTATTGATCTTTCTTTTTCTACCTTTTTTTTTTTTGGTGTAGGGTCTTGCTGTGTTGTCCAGGTTGACCTTGAACTCATTATTCTCCTGCCTCAGTCTCCCAAGAAGTGATTTGAAATAATAATAATAATTCCAATTTCCTGTTATAATAATAATAATAATAATAATTATTATTATTATTATTATTGCAGAGATAGAGAATGAGCCAAAGGTTTTGCACATGCTAGACAAGTGCTCTACCACTGAGCTATACCCCAAGCCCCATATTGATTTTTTTGTTAAATTGGGGTAGTGATATGATGGAAAAGTCATAGTGAGAGGAACTAGATAACAGTGTGTAGCATGGTCAGAATGCGACAGAATGGAGGAGGTAGCTGTCCTGGTCCAGGGATGAGATCACTCGTGCTTGATTTATATTTGTCAGAAGTGCCTTGATGTGAAGGATGGGGATATAATTTCTAAGGAGGTAGAGGTACTAGTTTGGAAAGAAAGTTGATTGTGTTTATTTGTGGAGGTATGTCATCTAGGAGAACTTTCCAGCTTGTGTAAGAACTTTCCAGTGCTCATGCCTCCAAATGGGAAAGTGGACAAAATATTACTTTATACCACTGTTTTAGGCACAAAAGAAAATAATTGCTGTTTAACAAACAGGTTTTCTTCTTTCTGGTCCTTCTAAGCAGTCATTATTCCGTCTTTCCTAAGATGGCAAAGGCTCAGTTTTCTTTTTAAATAAATATAGAGAATGTCATAAAGAATGAAAGGATCTGCTAGTGGTACACTAATTAACTCTTAGAAAATTACTAACAAGAGTCTTTTGATGCAAAATAAATTTTCAGGAATGGTTTAAGGATCTCTGCAGTGAAGAGTGGTTCATCTGATGCTCAGATTCAAAATCCTTTTATTTTCAGGCATGACCTAGCAAGTGTGGTTCCTTTGACTTATTCTTAGATTTCAGTGAGTGCAACATTATTAATATTTTGGAGAAAGGTGATAGTCAACGTTTCTGTCTATGGATTAACATCAGTTTTATTATTTAACCTCATGTTAAAAGCAGTTGTTTTTATTATTATGTGTTCTAAATTAGCATGCTAATTTAGTCAGTTTTGATAGGCTTATCTCCAGTTATAATGCACAGTCTTTTTTTTTTAAAGTCATGCATACTTAACCAATTTTCACTAGTTATAAGTGGTTAGGTATTACTTCCTGTTGAATTAGCAGTTGCTGAGTAGTTGAGTCTGTACAATCCTGCAATCCACTAATGTGATATTTAATGAGGAGCCATCAGTCTGGAGAAAGGTAGTCAATATAAATCAGTGTTTACAAAGTGTGATTAACTCTGAAATATTTCATCAATGCTGTGGTCCCAGGCAGACTCTATGCTAATTACTAGAATCTTCGCATGTTTCAGGGGACTTGGAGGGACCCTGAGTATTGCAAACACGGAGCAGCAAAATTACAATTATGCTCGGACCGTCTCTGATGACAATTTATGCATTTGGTGTGATGACCTCCCCCTTCCCAAGAGGGCAATAAACAGAATGCATTTTCATTAAGATACTAATGCACTTAATCACAAGGGGAAAGGGTTAGGAAGTAGCGAAAGACCTTCAAGCACTATGTGACAGACCTGATAGGGCAGAGAAGCTTTATTTTAAAGGCAGTTTCTTTACAAAGCTGTGGGCAGCCCAGAGCACCTCTCATATAATGGCATTGTCTCAGACTAGGAAATATTTGAAGTTTGGATCTTCTTCTGATTGCACAGTTATCATTTGAAATGTGTAGGCACTGCCGCAAGTCATGCAAAGTCTAATATTAAGAATATAACTTCATAGTGGTTTATTCTTAATTATTACATTTTCAAGGAGCTTAAGAATTTGAAATTAATTATGCAATTTATGTAACAAACCCGATGATGATGTTCAGTGATGATGACCATCATCATCATCATCATCATCATCATCATCATCATCACTAAACATTTACTGAGCAAAGAATTTATTTTATGGCTCTGGTAGCTAGTAAGTCTTGCAGGTAGAACTATGTAATCCCTGTCCCTTGCCTGTAGGAGCTTGCCATATAGCTCCACATTAACCTCCTGAGCATTTTGCACTGGGAAGTTTATGTTGTTCAGTGTCAGGAAAACAATCAGTCTGATGAATCAAAGTGCCAGTCACCTTTGTATCCAAAGGTTCTAAATCAGTGTGCTTTGCTCAGGTGGTCTTTGCTTAGTGATCCTCTCCTGATCCTCTCCTGAGTCCACCCATGCAAAGTGATAATCTTCCAGAAAGTTAGGATCCAAAAGAAATTTCTTTTTTTTTTTTTTTAATTTTTAGAGACTTTTATTCTCTGAGAAAAATTATTCCCACACATGTAATAAATCTATAATCAAGATTGGATTGATTAAATGGTACATTGTTATAATTGGGAAAAAAAACTGAGACTACAATAGAACACTAACAGTGACCATTTCTGAAGTGTGTTTTTAATGCTGATTTTGTTTCTCACATCATGCTTATAATTTTAATAAGAGAATTATTTTTAAAAGATTGAAACAACATTTTGGGCCATATATTTTAAAATAACTTGTTTGTGTATATCCTTTTGACATTGTCCACATCTCTTCCCTGTGGACCACGTAAACACTTTTTTATCCTGTGATTTTCATTGCAGCTCCCAGCAGGGGTTGTCTGCCTTCTTGCCCCAGTCACCAACAAAAGAAATTTCAAAGAAGACTATTATCATAAAATCCTGATTTTACACTTAAGTTTTTGAAGAGCTTCATCATATGTCCCCTAGTTGTGCAATGCATCCTCACTGGTAGTAGCACAGTATCCGGATTCATGTCATTTCTTATGTTCCCAACAAGATGAAACTCCTGTGACTTTGGGGGAAGGAGGGAGCAGAAGTGACAGAGTTGACATTTTCTTGGGGATGCTAATATCTCCAGGGTCTTGCAAGTCTAACAGCTTCTTTTCTTCCAACTTTGTGTTTTAGGTAATATAGAATATAGCTGCCCTGCCACGAACGAATGTGAAATCACAAAGCGCAGACGTAAATCCTGCCAGGCTTGCCGCTTCATGAAGTGTCTAAAAGTGGGCATGCTGAAAGAAGGTAAGGCACTTCTTTAATGTCCCTATGCTTTAGGTTTGGGGGGATGGGATTTGGAGGTACAGGGAATCCCACTAATTTTAGAAAAACTAGAAAAGATGGGGTAGCAGTACCCAATACGCCTTCTTGGCCCCTAAACTTTCTGATACGTCATCGCTAACTGCTTGACATTAACCAGAAGGACAAGGTAGGTCACATCTGATTTGCAGTTGAACACACAAGGTATGTTTCACAGTCCTGGTCTTGTCTACTTTACAGTTTGCAGAAGGAAAGAGATGAAGACAAACAATCAACTGATGTCTTTTTGCTTTTTATGTCATCAACAGGTTCATAGATTTTGTAAGATTTGTTCTAATTAATTATACATGAGAGTAGAATGCATTTTGACACATTATACATAAATGGAGTATAACTTTTCATTCTTCTGATTCTGCATGATGTAGAGTTACACTGGTCATGTAATCATATATACATATAGGATAATAATGTCCAATTCATTCTACTATCCTTCTTACCCTCATACTCCCCTCCCTTCAGTCCCCTCTGTCTAGACCAAAGTACCTCTGTTCTCCCCCACCCCACCCCTCATTGTGAATTAGCATCCACATATCAGAGAAAACATTCAGCCTTTGGTTCTCTTGAGATTGGCTTATTTTGCCTAGCATCATATTCTCTAGTTCCATCCATTTACTGGCAAATGCCATAATTTCATTCTTATTTAAGGCTGAGTAATATTCCTTTGTGTATATTTAATACAATTTTTTAAATCCATCCATCTGTCAAAGGGAACCTAGCCTGATTCCATAGTTTAGCTATGGTTCACATATTTTTTAAAAAATTAATCTTGGGTTTAAAATACTCTTTCTTTTTTCCCAACCTATTTTCTACTAAAAAGGGTTTGTGATATGATATTAAAATGGCTTTCCATTTGTTTTCAGTCAGAGATAACAACAGACACAAAATATGAACAGTGAACATGTATCCCATGTTAAACAATTTGCCTAAGCTTACCCAGTTAGTAACAGGTGGTGCCAGGAACTGAACCCATGGATTGCTGGATGCCTTTCACCTATTCCGCACATCCAAGGACCTGAAATATTTGTATATTTCAGCATGTTTATCAAGACTGACATTTCAGCTTGGAGATAGAGAAAAATTATTTTTTTCTTTAAAAGACCTACTTATTAGTCTTTTATTTTTTTTTTAATGTGTCTCTGTGTGCTTTGGAGATATGCATTTTACATATCTCATTTAGACCTTTCTGTTTCCTCCTCTTCAGAAAATGTACCAGCGTTTAAAATAAATATGATAATTTGTAAGTAACAAAGAAAAAATATGGTAAAGTTTGGAAAAATTAGGTTAATTAAATATAAATACCATTGCATCATAAAATATGCTTTGTTCCTGCAATTTACCTTATTAGGTATATTTTGTTGTCACTGGATATCCTCATTTTTTTTTATACCTTTAAGTCCACATAGGCCCAAGTGTTAGTTGAACTTGAGCTTTGGGTGTGTTATTACTAGATCTCATAATTTTATCCAGTTTCTTTCAATTCCAATTTCCTGTGTGCTATGACATACAAGGATTAGTGGATTAGATTATATTCCAGTACATGGAATTTATACCATATCTGTCTGCCTCTTATTTGTCTACTAGGAACAATGAAGACCCTCTTGAATTCTTCTTCAGTTTTGCTTACCTCTTGAAAAAGGAGCTATAAACAAACATATAACTTTATAATTAAAGCATCTTGAAAGGTGATCAACATCCATTATCAAGCAAAAGATAAAGTAAAATGCAAACTGTCCCATGGATGACTCAGTTTATATGTATCTCTATAGGGGTGGCGGAGAGGGACATGGAAAGCAGAAAGATTGGAGAAGGTACTACACTGTGTTGGTATAGGCATGGAGAAGTAAAAAGAGGGAAGAATGGTGTGAAGGTTACACTGGTGAATAAATATGAGGACGGGGATCCTTTGGCACTGTTAGGATTTTTCACAGTTAACATGTTTTGCATTTATCTTCTGTTTGCTAAATATTATTAAGATCCTCCCATGTGCCAGAGGCTACTCTAGGTGCCAGTGACATAAAAATGAGGAGACCAACTCCGTTACTCTCACTAGTGAGAATTTATATGAAAATAACCAAAGGACCATTATTGACAAAGGCACACACATACATAAAACTCAACAACAATCTAACCCATAAGACAAAAAAAGTTTCCTTTTAGTTACAATGATGGCAATTTCTTATTATGGTTGAGGTAGAAAACCTTCTTAGCTACTGCCTTAAACTGCATCTCAGGGTGATGAGCAAAGGGCAATTCAAAATGTAGAGTTGACCCCAGCCTCACACAAAGCAAAATCTAATTCAGAATGTAATAATAAGTGGTAGGCATTTTTTGGTCTTCATTATATTTATATTGCTACTTTGTTAGGCAGTAGAGATTTAGACTAGACTGATTCTTAAGAAAAGTTTAGTTGAGGGATGATTATTTTTTTAAAAAAAGCAAATCAATTGTTTTAAATGTTATAAAAGAAATCTGTATGTGTGTATGTGTGTGTGTGTATCCTACATAAAAGTGTCCTAGATTTGGAATCCCCCTCCTCCAAAAAAAAAAAAAAAACAAAAAACTGAAGTACATGGAAACTCCCCTTTATTTCTAGGAAGATAGATTTTTTTGATTAGTTTTATTTTACCACTGTAATTTACTCACCTGATTGTCCTTCTAAGTCTAAACAGAGGAATAAAAAAAATATTTTCCCTTAAACAATTTTTCCAGTTGTAGCTTTTAAGAGGAGCACTCCTGAAGGGTGGCAAGAGTGAATGGAGAGGTGTGAACTATGTTTAATTAAACATTGTTGGTGAAAGTAAACGGGGATCTGCTTATCTATAATTCACACCTCTTCAGTTGCTGTTATCAAGCCTTTAGAGGATCTGTTTTCAAGGGAATTGCTGCTATTTCTGATATGTTCAAATAATAATTCATTTTCCTTTACTTGTTTCTGTCCACTTGGATAGCAAAATCTCAGTTCTCTAAGCTTCACTTCCTCCTCCTCCAAACAGAAAGGTTGGGGTAGTTATAAGTAAATATGGTATATTCTTTTCTCTTTTGTACTTAAAAAAAAAAATGCAGTGAAATATTGCTTTACACCCTGCATATAAATGCACAATTATGTTTGGCCATCTCCTTGGCCCAAGACTTGCTTTCTAAGCCTGGAGAGAATGATACCGTCTTAAACGTATCTTTATGGATGTAGAGGGATTTCAGTCCCACGCAGTATGTCAGAGATCATGATGTAGTAAATCTATTCAAATGTAAACCTGTTCAATTCAATTACCAGTCCATAATAAAATTTGCTGCTACAACCCCCGTGTTGACCACAGCAGTCCATACAGGCTGATGGCACAGCGGGTCTGGAAATTGACAGACAAAATCTATTTAAACAAAAAAAACAGCATTAGTTCTAGAATCTGAAATGAAATCAGATTTCAACAGCATTGATGGGAACCTTCTTTCCTTTCACAGGTATTTTTATTCAACTCGCCAAATGCATCCTAGATAAAGGGCTGCCTGAGGGAAATGAAGTTTTCATTAAAAAGGTGGTTTATAGAAAGCTGAGACCTTTCCCATTTTACAAATAATGATTCTTAGTTATATTGAGTGGCATTTCTCCTAATTGAGGAATATCCTTTTGAGAAGCTGAGTGCAGTTTGGAGCGTGAAAGGGAAGTGATGGCTTAGTGGGCAAATTCCAGTTGTATCTCCAAGTGCAGAATTAAATTCTTATTAGTTACGCCTTCTCATTTGCCAGCACCAGAATTAATATCTGAATGAATGAATGATATTTGATTTTAATGTTAGCATTTTTAACTTGTGCTTGGGTGTATGTGTGTGTGTGTGTGTGTGTGTGTGTGTGTGTATGAGCGCATGTGCTACTGAGAATCAAACCAAGGACCTCCCACATGGTAGGCAAGCGCTCAATCAAAAATTTATTACCTGTTAAAGCAAAATCAAAATAAACAAACAAAAATCCTCAGAAAATCAAATTAACCAAACAAAATCTCTCAATGGACAGTTGTGTTGGAGAAAACAACATAATGTCACACCATCACAAAACTTTCAGAAGTGCTGTTAGCAAACAATAATTCATTCAAGTCCAAGTGGTGGGACCATTCAGCATCCTGAAACATGCCCTCATCTTTCTCCCTGCTCTAGTTTGCTGGTAAACGTCACGAATGATGGGCCGGCATTATTTTTTCAGCATTATACCATACTGTATGTCAGAGAAAACCCATCTATTACTTGATATCTGGTCTCAACATTCCCTTTTCATTTTTTTCAGGTATTGCTTATTTGAAGGAAAAAACAAGAACTAATCAAGGTGTACCTATAAATCTGGTCAAGATTTATTTTTATTTTGATCTCTCTCCTTGGTTATTTAAAGGCTACTATAGGACATACTGGTTCAGTTTTCTCTTTGTCAGTAGCAAACAGGGACATTTTATGAAAGCAATAATTATTTTATGTAGGTATAGAATTCACTGATCAGAGAACTGAAGGACATTTTGATATTTACTGGCACAGTGGGTTTCACTTTGGCAACTCAAGTGTTTTTCTCCTAAACTATTGCAGGTGAGCAAAAGAGTTACATTTAAGCATAACATTGTCTGTTCCCTAGCCCGGTCAGCTTCCATGAAAAATGTAGATGAATCAGACAACAGAAAGGACCAGTTTAATTATTTTGTGCCAAAAAAGTGTGGCATTTACTTGCCTTTAATTTTTTTTTTTTTTAATGCAAAACCAGGGATTGAACCCAGGACCTTGCCAAGGGAGGCAAGCACTGTATCCCTGAGCCATATCACCAGCCCTCTACTCGTCTTTAAGAAACTGCTACTTGACTTTTCTCATCTTCATTTTTCACCATCTATAATATGATGATATCAATAATAGTATTTACAAATGAAGTGTTGTGAATATTGGATAAAATATTGTGTG